CTCGCTCTGACCTCCTTCCTCCACCCTCGCGCAGGTGTAAGCCAGGCAGCCATCCCTCTGGAGGAGGGACCAGAAATGGGCACAACACTGCCTGAAGAAGGGCTACGCTGGCCACACAGGGTTCCTATCCCCAGAGATAATCTTCCCCTGGCCCACCTGGAAGAGCGTCCTAAACCAGGAGCATATAAAGTACTCACTGATTCCACAATGAGTTTCAGAAGCCCCAGGCATGCCCGGTGCTAGCTAGGTGAGGGGTACTCAGCAGTGACTAGAACGAAGTCCCCACAAGGGTAGGGAAAAAGGCAGGTACGTAAGAATGTAATGTCAGATGGTTGTACGTGCTGTAACAAAATTCACACCACAGAAAGGGAGGAAGAGCAACAGGGCAATTTATTTATTTTAGAGAGAGAGAGAGAGAGAGAGTGAATGTGAGGGGAGGGGCAGAGGCAACAGGAGAGAAAGAATGTCCCACAGACTGCCGGCTGTGAGCAAGGAGCCTGACGCGGGGCTGGAGCTCATGATCCTGAGATCACAAACCTGAGCCGAAATCACGAGTCAGACACTTAACCGACTGAGTGACCCCAGCACCCCAACAGGGTAGTTTTGAGAAGGGGTAATCAGGGAAGTCTTCCTGAAGAGGTGAAATTGTAACAGATGAGCTGAGAAACCGTAAGGAATGCATACTTGTATCTGAAGGAGAAGGTTCCAGGCAGAGGACAGAGCAGGCAAGGTTCTGAGCCAGCATTGAAGACCAGCAGGAGGCGGTGTCGCTGAAAAGTGATCTGGAGAAGGGGAGCCAGAAAAGGTGAAGTTAGAGATGTGACAAGAGGCCAGATCATGAAGCTTTTTCAGGTTGTGAGGAGTGGGTTAGTTTTTCCTCTTCCACGTGATGGAGCCTTTGGAGGGTTTAGAACTAAGGACATGACCTGACTCAGGTCTAGAGAACCACTCTGGCTGCTGTGTCCATGTAAGCCCCTGGCACATAGTAGGTGCTCACTAAACGTCAGTGGTTAGTATCACTGCTTTCCGCCTCATCATTGGGCTCTTGAGGTTACTGAGGGCAGAGATCAAAACAGTCATCTTGTATCCCCGGTTCCCATTCTGGAGTGGTTGCTAAAATATGTGGGTAAACAAATGAGTGACTCAGGACATGAAAGAGTGAGCAAGCAGGAGTGAGCTCTGAGGATGAGACTCCTGCCCTAGATGGATGGCCGGGACCCATGGCTGCCACGGCCCCTTGCTGAGATAAGTCACAGAGTGAAAGAAACATGGCCCTGGCCAGGCAGCAGAAAGGTCCAGTCAATACCCATTTTGGTAAGCACCATCGTCCAGGGCCTAAGAACGTGCAGGCTGTGACAGGGCCCAAATCTGGCCTGCAGGAGCCTAAGTGCACCTGCCAACCACCAGGTGGAGGGCAGGCAAATGACTTGGGGCACCAGTTTCTAGGGTCCCCAGGATGTTTAGAGGCTCACTCTGATTCCCTTGGGAGCATCACAAACAGGCGTTTAACACAAAAGAGAAACCCAGAGGAGGTAGCCCGGCCAGGCAGAAGTATCCAAAATTTGGGTTCTAGGCTATACTTCGGAGGTGGCAGAGATTGTTACAAGGAAGGGCAATCATGAAGGGCTTCCTGGAAGACCTGCAGCCTGGGATCAAACTGTCTACTAGAGAGCTGGAGTTGCAGACATTCCACTCCCCTTGTGGCCAGATGCCCTGTGAGCTCTCTCCTACCTTTGAACCACATCTGATATCCCTCCCCACTATCCATGGGCTAATGCCTTGGCTTGAATATCCAGAAAATGGCCTTACCCTCCCCGTCCAGCGTCGCCTCTTCCAAGCAGCCATATCCAGGGTCCATGCTGTGCCCTGAACACATCAGGCATCTTTTATCCCAGTGCCTTTGGTCCTGCCGTTTTCTCCCTCAGGAATTCCCTAAGGGCATTTTACCTAAACGGCTGCCTTTTCCTCAAGGCCCAGCTCCCGTATCCCAACATCAGGGGAGTCTCCACCCTCCGATCCCCCATCACACACATTTGGGGTGAGCTGTATGCCAAGCTGGACTTAGTTGGGTCCCATCTCTTTGGGGTGATGGTTCTGTACCAGTTAGGCTTCTTGTCCCGTGTCATTGTTAGCAGTGTCCCTTTCACTCCCAGATGTGCTCCAGCTGTGCAACAAATCACACGGAGACCCGTCACTGCCCAGCTGAAGGTCTCCAGTGGGAACTATGCCTTGTTCTTTGTTCTGTCGGGGCCTGGGATAATGCTCTGGAGATTATGGACACATCTGGAGAGTCATTCACTCGCACAAGTAATTTCTGAGGCATAACATGGCCAAGTAGCCAACGGATATGTCGCTGTTCTCCTGACTCGTCAGAAGAGGAAGGAGAAGAGAGGAAAACAAGACCATTTCAGAGAGTTACAGTGATATGGAGAAAATCTTGAAGGGGCGGGGAGAAAAGACAGAACGGGGTAAAGAAGGACTTTAGACGGGCAAGGTGGGGATGGCCTCTGGAGAAGTGGCATTTGACTAAGGCCTGAAGGAGGGGAGGAGGCCAGAGAGGAGAGTATCTGTAGGAAGAAAATTCTAGAGAAAGAAAGTGCAAAACCCCTGAGGCCAAAATGTGCTGCATTAGGAGGAGAGAGGCGACTGGGGGTGAGTGAGGAGGAGATCAGTGGGAGGGTTCAGCAGGAGCCAGACAGGGCTGGGCTTTGGCAGCCATGTTAAAGAATTAGGACTTTTTTTTTTTTTTTCTGCCAATGGAGAATTCTGGATGGGGAAATAATATCATCCGACTTTTTTTCCCCAGACTGAAAGGTTTTTATTTTTTTAACCATGCAGATAGGAGACAGTAGTGCCATGAATCTTCTTCTGATTGGACAAAGCCATCCCATGGATATTTCTCTGTTTAGAAGCAGAGATCCAGCAATGCCCGCTACATCGTGGTGGCCAGCGCACAGAGTCATCCAGACCTTAGCAGATTTTGTTCTGGAGGCTATCCTCACAGAACATGCTAACAGCTCCTAGTTTTAAGTCCTATAGAACCACAAAGGGCTGTATTAACAGGCCACAACCACCTGATCACCACCACAAATGGCCACTGAAGTCTCCGAATGGCACGGCAGGGAGAAATTACATGGACGTTCTTGTAAATGTTCTCAACTAAAAGCAGTAAGCAGGCCTGGACAGCTCAATGTCTCCACCGGGCAGAAACAGGGGAGGAGGTGCATAGGGTCTTACTTAAAAGTGTGAAATTAAAAACAGCATTCACTTTCCACTTTCACACCAGGACCAAGAGAACCTCTCAAGTTTCAGTGGTCGGTTAGTAATTCTTCTCATTTAAAAAACATTTTGATGAATCAGGAAAGTTCAGAAGAACCAGGGGACTCTGCTCCCTACATGCCACAGTCTCTCAGCCACTGGAAACTTCCCAGTTGCCTCTGCTTCCATTGCATTCCCCTGCAGAGAGCACCGGCCACCATGTTTCATGGCAAGGCCTCCCCAGATCCTGGGAAGCAAGACAAGGCCTTCCTACCAAAGGAGGACCAGGGGAGGCAACTGAACTCCTCCACCTACACAGTCCCACAGTGGGGGTTGGACCTGGTGGAAGGAGAAGAAAGGAGTTGGTCTAAAAGAACACAGCACAGGGGCGCCTGGGTGGCTCAGTTGGTTGAGCGACTGCCTTTGGCTCAGGTCATGATCCGGGACTTCCAGGATCGAGTCCCGCATGGGGCTCCCAGCTCCTTGGGGAGTCTGCTTCTCCCTCTGACCTTCTCCTCTCTCATGCTCTCTCTCACTCATTCTCTCTCAAATAAATAAAATCTTAAAAAAAAAAAATTTTTTTTTTTTAAAAAGAGCACAGAACAGAACAAAACTAGCCCCGCCCCTGGGGGAGTGCCCTTGCTAAAGGGGGCGGGGCATGTGAAAGAGGTGGCAGAGATGGGTGGGGGGAGCCCTCCCGCAGTGTGCAGAGCAACCCTCCTTCTCTAGAGCCAAAAGAGGAAGATTCAGTAAAAAAGACGGGCTGCTTAGCTGTTTTTAAGAACTTTGCTTCTTCAGTTGTTTGTTCTGAGCTGTCATTTTTTTTATTTATTTTTTAATTTTTTTTTTTTTAAGATTTTACTTATTTATTTGTCAGAGAGAGAGAGGGAGGGAGAGAGAGCGAGCACAGGCAGACAGAATGGCAGGCAGAGGCAGAGGGAGAAGCAGGCTCCCTGCAGAGCAAGGAGCCCGATGTGGGACTCGATCCCAGGACGCTGGGATCATGACCCGAGCCGAAGGCAGCTGCCCAACCAACTGAGCCACCCAGGCGTCCCTGAGCTGTCATTTTAAAGAAAACGAAAAAGATGTGAGATCTGGGCAGGTGTAGACAGGCCCCACAACTGGAAACTCCCCTCCGGTACCTGCATCCCGGCAGCCTAAAAACAGGCAGAGACTGAGGGTGCCGGTTGGGGCCTGGATTCTGTGTGATCCCCATGACTGGGCTCAGGAAGATAGGCTTCTGGAAGGGACCCCCATCATGGCCCCTGGCTGGAGCACATGCCCAGATATGCCAGCGTGCCAGAGCTGCTAGGGAGCTGGGGGCTTTCTTGTGCCTTGCCAGGTGGTCGTTGGGGCCCTTACAGACCTGGGAGCAGGCAACAATGTTGGTGGCAGCCCTGGCAGAACTCAGGAAGGAAGACGGCTTACTTAAAAAAAAAAGGGGGGGGGTGCGAAGGAAGGCCACCGTCAGAGGTAGACCTGGACCACGAAGATGATGGTAGTGCCCATCCTTAGCACTGGGTCCTTGGTAGACACTGTAGCGTGTAACAGCTATGTGATGCATGAAGGCCACTTGGAAACAGAAGAGCTTGGGCATGGAGGCCACAGCCTTGGAGCAGAGTCCACTGAACGTTCAGAGGGGCCAGGGGGCCTGAAAGCTCAGGCAGATAGTGGGGTTATGTCACCGGCCTAAACGCAGGTAGAAGGGAGTCTTAGGTAGGGGCCAGGTCCTAGCAAGGGACTTAGCCAGACCGGAACCTGTGGAACCTAGGAGGGGCCTCTGTGGGCCACCTTGCCAGGCTTCTCCTGGCTCTGGGAGGCCTATTGCCTAGCAGGTGGTACCGCAGGGGCTGGGGCCACAGGTCCTCTTCAATAATCTGGGCAACCTTGTCAGCTTCTGGGAAGCTGTGCTGCCAGAACCAGGTGAAGACACTGCTGCGCGTCCTGGCAAACCAGAACTGATACCACAGTCCTGAGGATCTGCGCTCATACTCCATGAGCATCTTGTTCCAGAAGTAGGGGTTGTTCCAAAAGCGAAACTTGAACTAGCATTGGGTCCTGGCGTGCCTGAGCTCCCTCAGCTCCAAACGCATCAGGTAGCAGAGCATGTCTTCATCACCGCTCATGATCATGGCTGTCAGCTGCGAGTGGTTCAGAAGGGCGGTGACCCAGGAGCCAGGAATATTCTGGATGACGAAACTCCTGTGGGCCAGGTGCAGACGGTGGATGTGCCCAGACCTGCGCTGCAGCCACAGGTAGGCCCTGTCCGCCTGGGCACCTCAGCTCCCACTCGATGGCCTCCGGTGGGTGCACGGCTGGGTCATCCAGGTTTAGGGGCCCCGGGCTCTGCTGCGCCGCGGCTCCCACCTCTAGCTCTTCCTCCCACGCCCCCACATCCCCAGCTCCCCCAGTCCTCCCCCTCCTCGGCGAGCTGCAGCTTCTCCACCCCTCCGCCTCTTCCATGAAGATGGCGCCTTGCCCAGTCGTCACTTCCTCGGCCTTCCCGCCGCCTCCCTCCCGCGACCCACGCCCCTGGGCTCCGCAGGTCTCTGGAGCCCCGGCCCAGGCCAGGCGGCTGCCCCGCGCCCCGGAGCAGGCGAGGCGGTCCCGGGGTGGGAGGGGGGGCGCCCGTGTGCCGCGGCTTTGCGGGCCCCACCGGCGAGGTCGGGCGACTGGCGCGTGGCGGATCCAGGGCCCCGGTCCCCTCAGCTGTGATCTCCTGCGGGAGCCTCTGGCCTGGCGGGGGTCAGGGTGCATAGGCGACACTGTGGGTCCCTCCAGAGGGGCAGGGGGCGCGAGGGGGAGACGCGCGGTCTCTCCCCTCCTGGCGCGCTCCGCCCCTCGCGCCCCACTTCGGGGCGTGATTCGCAGGGGTGCCCCAGCCTGGCGGAATGGCAGGAGGCTGCCTGGTGGGGATGCAATCGCGAGCGCAAGACGGAACTGGCCCCAGATTAGGAGGGCGCTGGAGGTGCCAGGGGGGTGAAATGCAGGGGTGTACCAAGCCAGGAGCAGCTCAGAGTGAGCACTGAGAATCAGGCATAACTCTGGTCGCGGAGATAGAACTTTCCATCACAACCACCACACCAAGTGATTACTCTCCCTCCAAACTGCCCCCCATTCCCAACCCGGCTGCGGTGGGCAGTGGGCACCGGGCGGAGCCCACATTCAACTGCGGTTTGGGGGCAGCTGTAGGAAACTAGCAGCTTTGCACAGGACAAACTACTCAAGCATATGCAGAAGAGGTGAACCAGCCTCAAACAGGCTGCAAATGATGGTTACTGATTGGCACATGGAGGTACTGGAAATATTTATATGGAGAAAGGAAGAAACTTAGAGTACAAGGATCTTGGGCAAGGGAATGTCTCAAGCGCTGTGAACCTGGAGTAAACGGACACCTGTTTGTAGGAACTGTAGCCTCCTGGGCTTGTGGACCACAAGGTGGATGTTTCTACTTGTCCTAGGCCCAGGCTTCTTCTTTTTTCTTTTTTAAGATTTTGTTTATATTTGACAGAAAGAGATCACAAGTAGGCAGAGAGGCAGGCAGAGAGAGGGGGGGGGGGGGGGGGGGAGAAGGCCCCCCGCGGACAAAGGACCCCCCCCCCCCCCCGCAATGCAGGGCTCCATCCCAGGACCCTGAGATCAAAACCTGAGCTGAAGGCAGAGGCTTAACCCACTGAGCCACCCAGGCGCCCCAACCCTGGCTGCTGCTTGCTCTATACCAGACATTTCACCTATGTGAACTCCAGTCTAAATTGCAGGGAATGTGCTTGGATGGGATGAGCTGGGATGAGCCTGGATGAACCAGCCATGCAGCCCTGAGCCTGCAAATGCATCTGCACTCCCGTGGTCTTGCCTCCCAAACTCAGGGTCTATGCAGGTCAGCACATCTAATGGCCCCTCTTCGTGGAAGTCACTGCCACCTCCTCCAGAGAGCCTTCAGCCTCCTCCTGCCCAATGAATAAGATAGCTCTGAGTCCCTGGGCCCACCATGGGGTATACACTCCCTAGAGAGTAAGGTGCGTTCCCTTGGGGCCCCAGCTAGGGATCTGAAGGCATTGTGGTCGACAGTGAATGTTTATGAAGTAAATGCAAGGCCAAAGAGATGAAGGGCCAGCCCAGTGCCTTTGTACACAAAGTGCCTGTTACAGACGTTAACACTTGTTATTGTCCCATGGACTCTTGGGCTGGACTCAGAGGTGACTTACACTGTGTGGCTCTGGACACTGGCCCCAGACCATGGAAAAGCAAGCTCAATTTTATCCCTGGATAGGAGGATCGCAGTACGTGCGACTGAGGTGAGGACTACCTTTGTTAAGCGACTGGCCAAGAATCAGTCAGAAGCCACGTCACTGTCTCAAGTTTGTCTACACCCAATGGGCAGGCCCAGGTGTGAGCAAGGTCAGGTCCTAGCTCTGTCACTTGCCAGCTGTGCAATTTGGGCAGTGGATGGCATGTCTTTTCTTGGGACAACCAGCATTCATTCCCAATCCTAACTGCAACCCCAATTTCCTTTGAGAAACCGTTCACTCCTCCTGTCTCACTCAGCCTTGTCGTCGCCGGCTGGTTTTGGGGAGGGCACAGAGCCATATCAAAGCCAGTGAGACAGGAGATGCCTAGTGGTGCTTTTGTGAACATACGAAAGAAATGTAATTTCTTGCTCTTCCTGGTCAGCACTGTGAGAGTGATAGGGATGGAATCATGGCAGCGTTCTACTCCTACACAAAGGAAGCCACCTTGTAGAGCCTGAGGACGAAGTCATTTCTACAGAAGATAGGGTCGAGAGAGACAGGAATGCTAAAGCCAGCCACGTTTGAGTGGGCTGAACCAATTCTAAAAACTGCTACATCTGGCATTTTTCGTTACATGAAATTTCATTAAGCCACTCTGATTTTTCTGACCCTTGCGTCCAAGTTTAAATGATAATGTGATGCCACTTACCTCAAAGACATCCCATTACGATCTTTCATTTCAAAGTCTATAGGTGCTAACGTGAAGGCCCGTTCCATCTGCCCTACACTCACCATCCCCTTGGGGCTAGAGATGTTTGGAGTTTCTAGTTCCCCAGGCTCTCTTCAGCCCTTTCGCAATCAGACAGGTTCACAACTTCCAAACACATCATTCAGAAGTTTTTAATAAACAACTTCATTATAAAAACTTTTTTTTTGAAAATGTAATTCTGTAAAACATTGAAAAATCTACTTTAACAAAGATACGCCCTGTGCATTTTCTAATGGCACTTATATTTTACAATTAAAAACCTTGTTTTATATAAAGCCAAAAATACTCCAAGAGGTTATTCACTGTGTTTACAAAGTGCTAGAAGGTTTTTGTCTTGTATTTTTCTCTCTTTAAATAATCTGGCGTTACGAAAGAGTGGCCCCAAAGCCTTGATCACTGGGAGGGAGGGAGGCGAACGGGAAGTATGTCTCAGGAGTTCTAGTGCCAAGCAGGCAGAGGTGGAGGGGGCAGCTACGGAAGTGAGCTTGCATCTGAAGAAACTGGGCTGGAATACTTCTTCCAAACCCCTCCACAGAGGCACTAGATTATCACGGTGAATCTCTCTCCTGTTAGAACCAGAACACCCCTTCCCTTGCCGCAGACCCTTCTCTCCAGTGGTGAAGGTCATAGCCAATTCCTTCCACAGCAGGTTCAGAGCTCCAGGAGAGGCCAGGGTGGGGTCCCAGAGGAATCTGGACTTTTCTGGCCAACACCTGCCTAAGGCAAAGTTTCTTATTACATAAATATCCTTGTTAAAAAGCAAAATATTGATCCTGTACAATATAAACTGTTAAAAAAAATCGTGCTTAAAAACAGCTCCTAGATAAGAGGGGAAGAAGAGGGAATGGTAAAACAGCTACCAAAAAGAAAGGGGGGGCAGGGATTCAGACTACTAGGGGAAGTTTAGGGCAGTGGAAGAATTTCAACTTAGGACAATATCTACGAGCAAAAAAGTAATCACACCTGCTTCCCGGATTTCCATTAAATGCCATTTGTAAAAGGTGGGGGGGGGGTCTCATTGGTGCTCCTTTTCCCACCTCTCCCCTTTTAAGATGTGCACAGAACCTTTGAGCTGACACAGCTGGGCAGGTCATCCCTGGCCCCCAGAAATGTACTCAACCTGGACCAGCTATGTACAGGATGGGAGGTGCCTGCCCCGTTCAGGGCAACTCATTGCTGACAGAAGTTGGAGGAGGTGGTAGGGAAAGAGGACATCACCCCTTTTACCTGGTCCCTATTTGGTCTCTGCCACATGCCATGGCTCCTGTCCTGGGCAGACACCCCTTAGGCTCTCATGGCCTCAGTAAAGGTACTGAAGTGGGTTTGGTACTGAGTGCAGGATAAGGCTATTCTTATCCTTCGAACAACCAGGCCAATAAGGCTTTTTTTTTTTTTTCCTCCTTAAATTTGGGGAAGGGAAGTTTAAGAAACGGCTGGGTGACTATGGTCCAAAAAAAGGTGAAGGCAGATGTTCCTCTGTACCAGCAAAGTTCACAGTGATAGAGAAATTCCTTGTGTGTGGTGAGGGCACTGAAGGAAAAGAGGGGCAGGATGGAAAGGGGGGATGGGGCAAGGCCCCAGTTACAAGGCTTTAAATAGTCGCTCTGCCTGTTCTAGGAGTTTCCCAGCATCACTAATGGGGCAGAGAGTTCAAAGAAGGGAAAGGACAGACAAGAAGAGTGGACTCCTCTAAGCCTGAGACTGTCTATTCTGTGGCCAGAGGCCCACCTGCCTCTATGAATGAGGGATGCAGGGAAGGTGGCCGGGAGCAGGTAAAGGGCTGCTGGGTCTAGTGATGAGGACCAGAGACAATAAGAAGAATGGCAGCACCGAGTCCTGCTTGGACCCTCACGTGCCATTTCCTGTAATACGAGTCCCAGTAACATGCACAGCATGCAGGAGGTGGCTGCGTACCAAGGGGGACGCTTTTAAAAATAAACCTTAAATTAGTCCCTGGGACTCACTGAAACTAATTTTTAGAAGCAAATCATCTAGTCTGATTCTAACCTTGCCAGACATTTTTATATCTGGTTTGTTGTTTTTTTTAAAAGGTATCCCAAGCTACCCTGCCTAAATCAAAACGTGCTTATTCACACCACATTGCTTCCAATTAAGGACCAGGGAGCTACATTTTAAGGTTTTCACCTCAAAGAGTACTGGCCTGGGCTGAAGCAGAAGCCTGGGTCTTGGACCTGCTCAGTTCCTGATGATAAAGCAAAGTGATTTCTAGAAGGGAGAGTAGGAGGACTGGGAGGAGGCTGAGGCAGTTCCTTGGTAGTTCGTCCTGAAACCCTGGTGGAGAAGCCAGCATGAGGCACGGCTGAGAGAGGTGCCCAGAAAACTACTGGCTGCACTTGTAGGAGTTAACAGTAAAGAGGTAGAAGTGTGTTTCTGAATCAGAGTGGAGGTGTCTCATGAGGGTCCCACATCAATGGTCCCTGAGCTGCCTCCCTCCCGTGAGTGGGAAGAGCGAAGCCCATCCAGAACTGAGAAATGAAGCAGGGATGGGGTTCGGCTGGGCAAGGGCTGCACTGTCTGTGGCAGGGAGCCCCACAAGCCAGATCATCTGTTGCAAGAAACCCTGCTAAGTATCGGGGCTAGGTGGTGGTGGGGGGGTACAAGCAGAAGGTGGAATTTCTTTGATGGAGAGCAGAGAGGCCTATGCACAGTGACCCCGAGTCCACGGTAACTGCAAAGGAGTGGCGGGGGGCACTGTGGAGAAAATGTTAGTATGGGAGCCAATGACATACCCACAGGTTAGGACTCAACTATCTGCCCAGCCCTAACTTCCTGAAAACTCTTCTTCCAACAATTCCACAACTTCCTGGAAAAGGGATAAATAGGAGACAAAATCAGGGCTTCACACCCTCTCCTTTGCTATCCATACCAGCTTAGAACCTGAGTCCCTCCTTCCGAGACTAATGATAACAGTTCATGATGTCTGGGGTAGGGGTCGGGGAGTGGGGGCAAAAGCAGCGGGCATGCCTTTCAGGTCTCCCCTCTCCAGTTCAAGGGGAGGGGGTGGGGTCATGATGTACTCGGAGAAAAACAGAACTGCAGACCTGTGAGAAAACGGCTCCAGTCTTCTTGCCTGTCTCGCGGACACTGCCAAGGAAGGCAGGGACAGACACAGTCATGGAAGATGGCAGAGACTGAAGCAGTCCAAAGTCAGTTTATTTCCCCACAGGGGAAAAACGTGACCTCAAGTGAAGAGAAGTCAGCGAGACCCGACTCCGCCTTGTAAACAGGGCTCCAGTTAACACCAGGTACCAAATGGTTCCGGCTGGTGCCAACTGGAATGGACTGGTGGGAATGGACTCACGGCGTGTAAACAATGTTCACTGCAATCACTCTAAGGCTAACAGCTTGGCAAGGGAGGTGAATGGTGTGTCTGAGACGACTGTGTAAACGGTGCCGTTGCTGGACAACACTGACTGGAAGTGGAGGTGTCGGTACAGGAGGGACGGGGGCGGTGGGAGGAAGAGGCCCTCTCTCCTGCCCACTGGCTGGAAGCAGGTGATGGAGCCAAGTGACCCTTTCTCTGCAGCAGGGCCCGACCAACTGCTGTGGGGTCTGCAAGTTGGGACCAGGAGACGGGCTTCTTGGGCTATTTTTCTCGAGGTCATCCAAAGTGAAACCCTCTGTCTCCAAGAGACTGCCTCCTTCTCCAAAGAGAAAGCGCTTCTGACGTTTTGGAGGGGGAGAGGGCTGAGTGTGGCTCCCGATTCAGATCAAAAAAGTAAAAGTAAAAATACCTGAAGTTCTATGGTATGAGATCTTTTCATGGGGCTGGGGCTCAGGGCTCCTCCTGGAACTGATCCTGGAGCCTTGAACCCCCAAACCAAGTGCTCCATACAGATACTGGAATTTTTTCTTTTTGAACCCAGCTCTGAAAGCTCAGCTGCCTTCGTGGGGGAGGCAGACAGGGTGGGCACAGAGGCTCCCTGACGGAGCCCAAGCCTGGACCAAGGGCCTCCCTGGGGGCTACTGGAATGCCTGGTGGAAACGAGGCAGGGTGGTGGTGCTCAGGCCAGATGTGAAGACCGGAGGCAAGGAGTGCAGAGGTCCAAAGTTCAGCGGCCCCCCAGCTCCGGGGGAGTCTTGAGGCTGTGCTTGCAAACTGGTGAGCAAGGGCTGCGCCTCGGCCTGGGAGTAGCCCATGACCAGGCCTCCCGCGGGCCCTGGCGGGTTGCATGGGGGGAGGTTGAGGGGGAGAAAGCCCAGCAGGTGGGAGAAGTCCACGTTGGCGGCGCAGAGGGCCTCAGAGAGGCTGGCGGGGCTCCTGGCGAGTAGAGCCTCATCTAGGAGGGCCGCCGCTGCCGCCGCCGGCTGAGGTGAGGCGGGCTGGGGCTCAGCGGACGGGAGAGAGAGGCTTCCAGGAAGCTCCGCCAGAAAACTATCCACCTCCACTTTGGGCAATTTGTCAGGCAAGTATGAGGTAGATCCAAGCTGGTATTTTGGAGGAAGCTGAGCTGGGGAAGAGATGGGTGAGGATTCCAGCGGGTAGCTCATACCCACGGGCAGCGTGCCGTGCACCAGGGAGTGGGGCACGCCTGGGCTGGGCATGGTGGGGATGTGGGCACCATACATGCCCACGGGCAACACGCCAGGGAAGGCCTTGGCCCCCATCACGTCCCGAGAGGCCATGCACAGCACAGGGCTCAGCTCCTCCTTCACACTGACCGTGGAGCTGCAGCTGAGTAGGCCTAACATGTCCACTGGCTCTGTCTTGATTTTGAGCAGCTCCTGTGAGTGGCTCTTCTTGACATGACGCGTCAGGTGGTCCTTGCGGCCGAAGCGCTGGGCACAGTACTGGCACAGGAAGTCCTTCCGGCCCGTGTGCACCACCAGGTGCCGCCGCACATCCTTGCGAGTGTAGAACCGCCGGTCACAGTGGTCACAGGGGTGCTTCTTCTCCTTGGCACCGCCTGCTACTCGGCGTGAGTGGGCCTTCAGGTGCTCCAGCAGGGCCTGGGTACTCTCAAAGGTCTGCAGGCACACCTTACAG